GAATTACACACACACACACACACAGGCACGCGCGCGCGCTCCAAGCAAGCAATTCTGCACTGAATGCCAGCTGCACTCCTCAATTCAGATCCCACAGATTGAGGGCTGTCCCCAGGACTCCCTTGTCCATTTTAGATGCCACTCCCTCTACCTGACTGGCTATAAACTGGGATTTCAGGGCTCAGTAACAGAATGTGTGCTTAGCATGTGTGAGGCTCTGGGTCCAGTCCCCAGGATCAAAAATAAAAATAAAATAAAACAAAATTTCATTTTAACTCACAGCTTTTTCAGATCTCTTATGTGAAGATACAACATTGATCGAGAGTGACTGCCTGACTGCTGAAATGGGAGCGAGCAGGAAGATGCAGATGGCTTCGTGTACCCCCAAATCTCAGCCCTCCGAAGCTTTGCTGTCAGGTCTGCCAGTGTACAACTAGGTCATGGATCTGCCAGATGCACCAAGGCAGCCCTGTCCTGGCAAGATGTGAGGCTCCTCCAATGGGCAACTCCAGCTTCAGGACTTTGAAGTGGGCTGATGGGAACTGCATTTGGACTACCTTGGTCGCAGATTCTCTTCACACCCAGTCTGCTTCCTTCTGCAGAGGTCAGATGTGCACTGCAATAGAACAGTTCTCCCTGCCTTTTCCCATTCCTTCCCCTAACTCACCTCATGAACATTAAATCCCACCACACTGTCTGTTTCTCAAGAGACCTGAACTGATGCAGTTTTCCTCACCAGAGAAATTCTCCCTATGTGCCATGAGATGAGGCTTTCCCATCTTCACAAAGACCCTAATGATCCTTGTGGAAATAGTTGTAGGGGGCTGGGAAAACCTGTTCTCTTGGTATTCACTCCTAACATCCCTCATTGGCCTTGAACCTTGTAATCACTGATGTGCTGGAGAAAGTTTGTACTGTCTCTTAAAAATCTATTGACAAATTCTCCGGAGTTTAGTGATCTGGTTGGTACAACAACCATTATTGAAACTTAAATGATTTATACTTACAGCTAAATAAATGATGTGTAAAATAAAAGTAATAACTCAAAAACCTACCACTTCCTAGGTACTTAACAACTTGTTATTTATGCACTCAGGTTCTTTATGCCTATTGTATCTGGGTGTGGGGAATACTATATAATGGTGTGTCTTGGCACTTCTTTTTGGACTCTGGAGCCCAGATTTACACTTGACCTTAGACAAAAGGCTGAGGAGTGATGAGGAAGACAGGTTTAGACTTGCTGTTTCAGCTCATTTCTTTAGTAACCAGAGGAGCTCCTAGCTTTGAGCGTAGCATGAAGCAAGAGACAGCTTCCTGGCTGGTCCAGGAAGCTCTGCCTTGCAAGCCAGTGGGCCCAGTGTGCACACCGCACTAGTGGCAAATATAGCTGCTGAATGGAACTTTGGTGTCCAGAAAGGTGGAGCATAGCACAGGCCCTCAGCATTTTGCCGCCAAGCCACAAACTCAGTAGCTTGTAACTTTTCTCCTTCTGAGAAGCACATCTTAGCTGCTTGCTGGGCACTAGTAAATACAGCAGCCTGACCATGAGCAGTAGGCAACCATGTGACAGATGTCCATCAGAGATGGAGTAATCTGATCCACCATATGTCAGCTAACATTTAATGTGCACAATGCACCAGGCTCTGTTCCAAGCACTGTAACATGTTTTCTAATCCTCATCAGATTTCTGGGAGATGGTTCTCCAATGACTGAGATCATCTCTATTTTAAATGAGAAGATTGAAGCAGTTTACCCATGGTCATATACCTAACATGTGTCAGAGCTTGGTTAGAACCCAGGCCCCCTGGCTCCAAAATACTTATATTTGATTACCAAATTGGATTGCGTCTCATGATCCAGTGGAAGTTTTCTATATAGTATAAGATTGGGCCTGTACAGAAATTAGAGACACAACAAATTACATGGCGTGTCCACTTCTGCCACACTGCTAATTCTTCCTCAGCCTCCACCTAAGGAGAACTCTCCAAGTCCAGCTGACGCAACATAATGGGATGGCACCAGCCACAAGTGGACAATGACAACATTCCAGCCCAGCTGAAGGGTATCTCTGAGGATTAACAGAGAAGGGAATATTCCGAAAGGCAGAATTTCCAGTGTTTCTCTTTTATGGTTTTAATTCCCCACCAAAGCTTGTTTTGAGATTTAATCCCCCTTGTGAGGTTTTTAAGAGGATGAAAATTTAATCTGTGACGTTTAGTGATGAGCTGGGGAGGCAGTTAAGGATAAAGGAGGTCATAAGGATGGGGCCCTAATCCAATCCACTGTGGCTTTACAAGAGAGACCTGAGCTAGTGTGTTCTGTCCCACATGTGATGCCCTAGGCCACCTTGTGACTCTTCCAAGTCCACACCAAGAGGACTCCCCTCAGTAAGAAGACCTTACCAGATGAAGTTCCCAGCCTTTGAACTGTGAGCTGAATAAAATTTTACTCTATAAATTTCTCAGTCTGTGATATTCATTTATAGCAACAGAAAACTAATCAAAACATATTTTGTTGACCACTACATCTGAAAAGAGAAGTCACCTGCAGTGCAGATATCATCAGCTAATGGTCAGAAGCTGATGGTTTAGCTCAGCAGTCAGGGACTTAGAAGGACCAAGAACACAGGGCTGGTGACAGGGATGTTTGAGGTAAGAGGTAGACAGGGCCGTTATCAGTATGGATCCATTTAGTTCTTTGTGATACCCTTAAAGTGCCTTCACTATAAATGAAGCACTCAGTAATCAAGGGAAATGTTGGCCTGTCCTCTATACGTGTGCCTCCTTCCTCCTCTGGTGCTCATGTTACCCAGGGACCCAGGAGCAAGGTGGCCATGGTAGCAGAAATGCACCATCTTCAAGTTCAGCAACTTGGACTTCCCCTCACCAAAGCTGATCGGGCTACTGCTTCTGCTGAATATCTGGTTTTCTAGCAATTAAGCCAATCTTAATTCTGATATGCACTAGGGTTGAATGGAACAACGGCCCGGGAAAGGCATGGATTCTCTCCAGCTTACCACTGCCAACATCATCTGCTGCTTGGCACCTGAATACCTGAAGCGCAGGTCTAAATCCCAACAACCTTCCCCAGCTACCCTGGTAGAACTGGATACTCCTCCCCAGCCTGCCTGGGTCAGCTGTCCCATGGGCTTCCAAACCTATGGGTGTTTTGATGCATTGAAACATTAGGGAGTATGGGAAATATGGTCTTGAGATTTTCATCCTGTGTAGTAGAAGGAGGTCACAGTGGTTGTTGAGTGACTTCATTTATAGAATGCCACAGATCTCTACCATCACTGTGAAAGAAGCCCTAATTCATCTTTTCTGGAAGAGCACTTATTTTGGACTTGAATTTGTTGACCTGTCTTAACAAATTTCTGCCCACACTAACATTTATAGACTCATCAAATGCTTAGTCACTACCATTGTAGTCCATCCAACATTGGCTCTAAGAAACTAATTTTACAGCAAAAATGATAAAGCAGTGGTCTGACACTATGGTGACTCCATCACTCCAAATTTTCTGGCCTCTTACAAGGTTCAGTACAGCTCATCTACAGCCCCAGGGGCAAGACAGTATCTTCCAGAATGCAGTTCATTGGTTCCAGGTCCAAGGGCTCTGTTCTCTCAGATTCAACCAAATTCAGATTAAAAATATTCAAAACAACTGTGTCTGTTCTGAACACGTGCAGACTGTTCTTTTCTTGCCACTATTCCTTAAATACTGCATAATAACTATTTGCATAGATGTTACATGTTATTAATTATAAGTAATCTAGGGATGGCCCAAAGTATAAGGGAGGATGTGTGTGGGTCATATGTGTGAATACTGGGTCATTTTAAATGAGGGGCTTGACTGTCCATGGGTTTTTTTTATCCCCAGAGGATGCTGCAACCTACTCCACATGATGCCAAGGGGCGGCTGTCACACAAGCTCTTGCTGTCATAGGCAGAATACATGGGCCAGGCCTGAGAACCATGAGATAGCCTTAGGAGGGGCGCCTCCTTCAGGGCCACTTGCAAAGTTGTCCCTAATCCTCTGGACTGGGCGGGGTGGGGCGGGGATCTCATGATTTAAAAGCTTCGGAAAACAATAATAGTTCTGTGACTTAGAAGCTGAGATGGCCACCTCGTCACCATGGACTCCGCAAGCTACCTAAAGAACTGGAAACAGAAAGAGCTATCTGGTGTCAAGGAGCAATGAATCAACATGAAGGAGTGTGCACTGATTTACAGAAGAGTCATGGAAACCAGGGGACCCTGTTTCTAGCATCCAGCTTCAGACCCTTTGTGAATAAAGGATTAGGTCACATCACCAATCACACACCTTGCAGGGGATTCTGAGATGGAGGGGCCGAATCCACACTGGGAACCAGCAAGGGTGACACTGGCACTGCACTGACTCACAGAGGCAGCAGTCTGGTGGCTCTGGTGGTGGCATCTGGCATCCAGCACTAAGGTGACCCCCATGCTGATTGCCTTGACCTGCCCAGGGCAGCAGCTCAGTTTTGAGGCATGAGTTTGGATATTGTTCCAGGTAGGGTACACCCCAAATCTGGTCCTCTGTCCATAAAGGTACTTTGTGGGTGCCAATATCCTCTTTTATAAATTCCTTTCTTGATTAAATTATCCAGAGTGGGTTTCATAGAGGAAGATGTAGAAGGATACATTTCAGTGAATACAGAGCGGTTACTGCTGACTTGGTATTTTATATGTTCCTTTTGCTGGTCTATAGTTTTTGATTTTCCTGATGTAAAAATTAACATTTTAAATAAAAATATTTTTAGAAAGTAATTAAAAAATACATCGTCTTGAGTTTTAATTAAACTTTCTGACCTATGACTTTATATTATAGGTATACATTTAGTACAAAGGCTAACATACTTCAAAAAAATGAAAAAATACTATAGTTAGCTTAATGGAAAAAAATAATATTTTTAAAAAGGAGGAAAAGAGGTACTCATTCAAAATGAAGGAAAATAATAACCAGGGAGAATGCAGTACAGTAAGTCTGCCTTTGTTTATGGGTTTATTTTTACAAATAGTTGATATACTTATGTAATACTCACAATGATACAAAAATGTGAGGTGACATTTGAATACGGATCTCATGGTTGGTAAAGTATATAAAATATGGACTAAGTGAAGCAGAAAGCTATTGAGAAGCATTTATAAGGCTAGGTGTTTACACTTACAGCTGAGTTATCTAGCATGTCAGAGTTACCCGCCCGCAAGGGACACTCGTCATAAACCCTATGCAGGGTTGAAAATAGAGGGAGCAAGAGCGAGAATGTAGTCTGTGCTCTCTGCCTAGTCATCTCCCCGGGGTTCTTCTATGCTTGAGTTCGTTTTAGAGGAGTCTTTCGATATGCACATTTACCTTCCTTCCCAACGTACACTTTCTCAAGGAACTAAAAAGTAAAAGCAAAAACAAGAGAGCCTTCATTATTGGCAAGCAAAAATCATACGGTCCTCCACATAACTGCTGCCATGCCCAGATCCAAGTTCTCCCTCTGACACCCATCCTCACACCTCACAAAGCTGCAGTCTTCACATGGTGGCTGCACAGCTTCAGGGATGCCCTGATGGAATCCACACTCACCCACGCCCAGCCCAGCCCAGCCCAGCCTTAGGCTGCTCCACTCTGTCATCAAAGACCTGGAATCCATCTGCACAGCAAGGTAATGAAGCTGTGGGCAATGCATGAGGCGGGTAATCCAGTAACAGAGACGGGGATGTGTACCTAAGTGCATGTGCTCGTGTGACATCTGTAATTATACACACAGTATGTGCATACATTGTGTGTAAAGAAGGAAATGAATGTTCATATGTAAATTTAAGTAATGTCTATGTATGCACCTGTGTGCATGAGTATGTGCACTCATGTATCTTGTGTACTGTGATAGATACCCTGTTTTAGTTGAAAACTTACTGCTAAAATAGAGGCTATGAGGTGAGTATTGTGGAACACACCTGTAATCCCAGCACCCTGGGAGGCTGAGGCAGGAGGATGGCAACTTCAAGCCCAGCCAGAGCAACTTAGTGACTTAGCAAGAACCTATCTCAAAATAAAAAATTTTTAAAAGGGTGGGAATGTAGCTCAGTGCAAAGACCTGGATTCAATCCTCAGTACACACACACAAAAAAGCCTATAGGGATGTAAAAGTAGAGTCAAAGTGCTGCCAGAGCCTGAGTGGCAGCAGACTCAGCACCATCTCTGGAGTGAACACAGCTGACAGCACACCTAACAGGTCACATAGCTCCCAGCTGCCCCAGGCTGAGCCCATGCTCATCAACAGGACAGATGAGGGAGAAATCAAAACAGAAAAGAAGTTGGTTCTGCCACTAAAAATGTTGAGGTAGGAATAAGAGACGCAATAGCATTAAGGACAATAAGGCTTTGCGCATGTATTTGCCAGGGAGCATGAGCCCTGTGAGTTCTGGTTCTCAGACACAAAGACCCAGGGTCTTATTTTAGGACCACCCAACCATACTGGCTGCACTGCTCCAAAGGCCCCGAGGGTCGTGTACCCAAGGGACAGGGACAAATGTGTGGCTGCGGCTCTGGCCCCAAATGTTCTGGTTTCCTGAAGCAGTGACAGGACTGGCCTGGGTGCCTGCTCCTGGCTTCCGACCACGCCTGCTCTGTCCTCCTCCTTGTCACCTTCTCGGCTGGGCGGGCCTCCCAGGAGGAGGCGGGGCCAGCTTTGCACTTCTGGGAGAACAAACCGGAAGCAGAAGGAAGGAGGAGGGGAAAGCCGGCAGTTGCTGGCAGGAGCAAGGAAGTGGACTGGTCTGTTTCCACTTGAGGCAGAGCTCATGGGACCAGGATAAAGTTGCAAATCTCAACTCTATTTTGTCCTAACCCTGCCACAGTCATTTGCCCTTAGACCTGGAAATCAAGGAAATGTAAAGACTTTCTGGCGTTTGAGTATTAGCCCCTTTCACTGTGGGGCCCTGTGGAGATCAGACCCAATGAAAGTGAGTTAAATAGCAAGAGGGGCAGTGCCTCTGACAGCAGCAGAAACCAAACAGGCAGAATAAAAAGGGCAAAAGGCCACATCCTGTCTCTGGGGCCTCTCTGGGGAAAAACATGACCTTTCCTCCAAGGGCCTGGCTGTGGCGGATGCCTGTTTGTGTTTTATTTTGTTTGGTTTGGCACTCATGTTTGGGGATTGAACCCCAGGTGCACCGAGCTACATTCCCAGGCCTTTTGATTTTTTTTTTTTCCAAACAAGGAATCACTAAATTGTCCAGGTAGGGCTAGAACTTGCAACCCTCCTGCCTCAGTCTCCTGAGTAAATGGGATTACAGGCATGCACCACTGCACCTGGCCGAGAATTATTCTGATTCTGTCAGAGTAGCAACCCCTTCGCTCGGATAACTGTGTGCTCCAAAGCCCTCAGCTGGACCTCCAAATGACCCTTTAACTCACCCTTGGCATCCTGTAGCTCCTGCTTAGAACAAAATCCTTGAAGGCAACTGTTCCATGAAGGTCTGCAAGGAACGCGTCCTGAACAGGAGTTTAAAGAACGTGTAAAGATACAGTCAGCAGCTCTTTGTGAGGAACCTTGTTTTAGATGACATCCTTCTCATTTTGAACATGTGTGTAAATAATGTTCACGACATGAAGAGCATGAAAGCTCTCAACAGCCTCTGCTTTATCTCCTTTCCAGCCCCTTTTCTTGCCCTGTATTAGGCAGTGGTTGACCTTGGAGGTCCAGACCACTCTATGTGAGAGCAACGCTACACCCACAATTTATAGATCTTAACCTAAAGAGCCTGACCATCGAGAGAGACTTGGATCATCACTTCCTCCTCAGTTATCCAGCACCCTTTTGGTTGTCTTTTTCATTAAGTTGAATTTAAATGTTGGATATATAAATTGACATAATTGTAATGCAATACCTTAAGACCATTTCACCTTCCAAACTAGATCAAAGATAGTCAGAACTCTTTTTTTTTCTGGTACCCAGGATTGAACTAAGGACCTTGTACTTGCCAGGCAGGCACTGGCACCACTGAGCTACATCCCCAGCCGGTCAGAATTCTAGCATTCCCTGCAAAATAGTGCTGCTGACAGTGACTGTTCCTTCCCAAGTCACCTCGGCCTCTGTGTCTTGTGAGCCGGCATTCTGGAGGCTAGGGTGCCACCTAAAGTGCACACAGGTATTATAAAAAGTCTACTTTACAAAAATCAGCATAGAACAATTCTGTGTTTGAATCCTCCCTATGTCTAAACCTCTTAAATTTTTGCAGCTGGAAGTTGTGCTGTATGCCTATATTCCCAACACTCAGGAGACTGAGGCAGAAGGATTTTGAGTTCAAGGTCAGCCTGGGATACATGGAGAGTTCAAGTCCAGCCTGGACTACATAGTAAGACCCTGTCTTGGAAAAAAAAGCAAAACAATACAAATTTTATTATAACAGTTATAAGAACCCTATTCCCCAAATTTAAATACAGTACTACTTCTTCATTAACTGACTACAACCATTCATTAACTGTAACAACTTTACTAGCTTTTGCCATGAAAAATGAATTATGTTTTGGAAATTACTTTAAGAATTAGTCTTCAAGAATATAGTTTTCAAAAGAGAACTTCAGGCACTGTAAAGCAAAAGTTTGTAATTATTTTTGTTTTTAAGTATTTAATTCAGAAGAAAATGTTGTTACTTTTAAAAGTACAATTGAAATAATTTTATATTACACATTAAATTGCCACAAACTTCGGCAGTTCCCAAAATCATACACTGAGAAATTCTACTAAATATTATGTATATTATTTTGATACTGCTAGAAGCATACTATACTAATAAATTTATGTCAGACCTCATATATGAAAATAAGAATTTATATTCAGCACTGGAAAAGATTAAAAAAATAACCCTCAGGGCTGGGGATTTAGCTCAGTGGTTCCACCACCTGCCTTGCAAGCGCAAGGTCCCAAGTTCAATCCCTGGTCCAAAAAATAAATAAATAAATAACCCTCATTCTTAGCTCTCTAGAGGAGAAATTTGATGAATGATTACTGATGAATGATAAGCCAAATTTGCACAGTATTTTAGTTTCCATATCTGTTATCTGAGGAAAGTTCTGAGTCTGTGGAAAAAGAGAAGAGGCCTATAGATGTTGTCTTGGGGTCCTGTGAAAGTGTTGTGTCAATGTGTATGAATTACCATGACTGTCTTCTCCCCATTAGACACTTGTACACAAAACATGGCAGCCACAGAGTCTATTGGTGGTAAAATTAAAGCACATCTTTGGGTTGTTTTCCTTTGTTTTTTGGTTTTTTGAGACAGGGTCTCACTATATAGTTCATGCTGGCCCCATACTTGCAGAACTCTTCCTGCCTCAGCCTCCTGAGTGCTGAGATTACTGTACAAGCATGCACCACATGCCCAGCTAGAGCATGTCTTTGTTTTGTGTGTCTGTTGCTTTGCAATGTCAAACAGTGTTTAAACCTTTGTCCCTTTCCTGCGACCCTGCTGAATTGTGTAAGAGAAATTTCCCAGTTGAGATTGTGAATTCTTTGCCATTCTTCTTTACTGACAGAAATCATGACATCATATCTTCTGAGCACTGACGTGGTCTTCCCAGTGCCCTATCAATTCAACTCACCCTTTGAACAATTATCCCTGGAATGAATTGTCCCAAAATGGTAGGAGAACCATGGATGGTGGTCCCATCCTTAGAGGCTGACCTTGATGCCAAGCAATTTCAGGACTTGCTTCTTACAAATTCCACACAATATTACTTGCTTTTCTTATTGCTGAATTCAATATGTAAGCTGTAGGATTTGTGGAGCCTCTGCACCACCCCAGAGACTCTGATTACCCTTAGCTGAGGTGATCAAGACACAGCACACACACGTACCCATTTCCACAGCTCCTTTTCAAAATTCTCGTCTTGAACTTTATGTGAGACACTGAGGTCAACCAAACGTTCTTCTGCTCTTTGCTTTTTCCACAGGCCAGTTCTCAAGTGCCACACTCCATAATTCGTCTTTACCCGCCTTGGGTTATAAGGATCCTATAGAAATTAATGGAGGGCTGGGATTTAGCTCAGTAGTTCTGGTGCCTGCCTTGCAAGTGCAAGGTCCCGAGTTTGATCCCCAGTACCAAAAAGAAGAAGAAGAAGAAGAAGAAGAAGAAGAAGAAGAAGAAGAAGAAGAAGAAGAAGAAGAAGAAGAAAGAAATTAATGGAATTCCTAGTGTTAGTTTTTGCCTTCACCATTTGGTTTGTCAGTTCAATAAATCTAAGGTTCCATTTATGAAGGCAATATCTGTAGTCTGAATTTATGGCCTGTCCTTACCAGAGTATATTATGAAGTTTCAGTATGCTTCGATTTTACAGAAGAAACATGAAACATTCATAATTGAGGAAAATCATGTAATGATGAAGAACAAGGCCTTTGGATTAAATAGATTCAGGTTTCAATCCAGTCTTCCCCATGTAGCACTTGTGAGTCTACAGTCAAGTTACCTACACGCTCTACCAGTGAGGTGGAGATAATAGCACAAGGTTATTGTGAAGATGAAAGGAGAGAATATATGTGAACCAGGTAGAAATCAAGCCACAGTCACATATTTCACCCAAGGGTAATGATCTTGAATGATAATGAAAACATTAAGTTTTCCAACTTACCGTTGGGCCAGCACTCTGCCCAGTCTTATAAATGCGACGCTACTTTTGACCACACTGCTCCCTCACACCAACCTTCTGCCTCTGATCTGAAGAGGAGGAAGAGGAGCTGACTCCTCCTCTCTTTCTGCCATTCCCCAGCAGGGCACCAAACTTGATTCACAGCCAGGTACTGTGCCCATGACACCCACATTTAAACTACTCGATGGACAGGGTGGGGCATTCTGGAGGTGAGTTGGATGTGACTGTCTGAGTGGGAGAATCTGGCAGAGCCCACTGGAGGGAAATCCCTGCCACAGCTGGACTCAGCCTCCTTGCCCTGGCATCCTGATGCCTTTTCCGTCCCACAGGCTCACACCCACCTCTGCACCAGTGACCTGTGTTCCTTGTTGTTCTGCTGCTGTGATACACTTTCCCACAGACACACATAGCTCATCATTTGCCTATTCCACATCTGCTTTTCTTAGTAGCTTCCCAGGCCATTAATTTAAAAACTGCAACCCTCTCACAACACTCTCTGCCTTCTTTCCTACCTCATTTTTTCTTAACCACACGTATCACTGTATGGTGTGCTATACATCCTGCAACTGTTCCTCTGTGTCTTTTCTCACTAGAATGCAAGCTTCAGAGGTTGTTCCTTGAATATCTCTCTGGCATCTAGAACAACACTTAGTACATAGCAGATACTCAATAAATATTTGTTGAATAAATGTCAGGTTTCTTAATGGCAGCACTATTGACATTTGAGATTAGATCACTCTTTATGGGGGTGGGGGATACGGGCATTGCAGGACATTTAACAGCATCCTTGACCTCTGCCCACAGGATGCCAGGAGCAACCTGAGATGTGAGAACCAAAAATGTCACTTCCAAACACTGCCAATTATATACCCCCAGGGGGCAGGAAAAGGGGCAAAATCTCCTTCAGCTTAGAACCACTGAATTGAAGGAAGGAAAGGAGAGGGAAGGAATCTGACAACCTCCACACTGAAGAACTTGAATTCTGAATATGTCTTATGGTTGGTTAACTGGTGATCTTTTAAGACCTAGCACAAAACTATTTTCTTCTAAGAAGCCACTGCCCTCACTCCATGCTTGGTGGAATCAATGATTTCTTCCTCTGTCCTGTACACACATGACATCATTTTGCTATAGTTAACCATTTACCTGGTTATCTGGGGATGGGGGAAGATGAGAGGGAAAAAAGGGGAAAGGGTAGCAAAAAGGATCAGATGTGATACGCACATGTACCTTGATGAATGTAGTTACTAACAAACATTTACTAACAAAACACAAACATTTACTAACAAAATAAAAAGAAGAACTTCAAGGTACAGTCCTGAGAAAACTGTATGAAGTAGAAAAATAAAACTGGAACTTCCACTTCCAGAATATAGATTAGATTTACCCTCCAAACTACAGTATCTACAAAATAATGAAGAAAAGAAAAACTGATGGCTTGCAAGACACTGAACCTCAGGTAACAAGGGACAGCGATCCTGAGAGATGAGCAATAAACAAGACAAACTCCCAAATTGCCTCCAGCTCACTGCCTTGAGAGAGTTTCCAGGTCACATTCAGGGAGGAGGGGTTTAGGAGGAGCCCAGGAAGATGAAGGCAGGTGAAGTTTACAGCTCAGAGTAAAAGAGAGAGCTGCACACACAGAGAGAATGCCAGGGGAGCACAGACGGCTGTTCTGCATGCTGGGAAGAAACTGCCCCAAATCAGGGGAAGAACCAATGGAAAGGGTTAGACGGAAAGTGCCCAGCACTCCCTCTGAGCCAGATCAGTGCTCTTTTCCTCCAGGAAAACCTAAAGATTCACAGGATACTGGGAAGAATAAACTTTGGAGTCTTGGCCAGTCATAGGGAATAGTTAACCCTAGATGGGACATTACTTTGGTTCCTTCCCCCACCCCCCACCCCCAAAATTTAGTACTGGGGATTGAACTCAGGGGCTTTGTACTAAGTTATACTCCCAACCTTTAAAACAAACATTTTTTTTTTTGAGACAGGGTTTTGCTAAGTCACTAACTTATCTACGCCATCTCAAAATTGTGGCCCTCCTGCCCTGGCCTCCTAGAGTGCTGGGTTTACAGGCATGTGCTACCACACCCAGCTCTAACAAATTTTTAAAGCAAGATCCAGGGCCGGGGATTTAGCTCAGTGGTTCCACTGCCTGCCTCACAAGCGCAAGGTCCCAAATTCCATCCCCGGTACCAAAAAAAAAAGCGAGATCCAAAGGCATCAAACTTCAAATAACTTGATCCTATCTCAGATCAAATTTCAAAAATATTTATAGTAATACAAAAATATCCAACACACAATAAGATAAAATTCGCAATGCTTAGCATCCACTCAAAGATCACCAGACACGCGGAGGTGCATGAGAACACAGCCCACAGCAAGGACATAAGTCAGTCCATGGAAACCAGCACAGGTGTTAGAATTAGCATACAAGGACATCAATGCAGTTACTCAAACTGAATTTCATATGCTCAAAAGATTACAAACATGGGAGATAGACTCACATCAAACTTCTATAGGCAAAGATTATAATAATGAGGTTAAAAACCATGCAGATTAGACATGGAGAAAAATGACTAGAGAATTTAAAGCCATATGAACAGAAAAACAGAAAGAAAGGAGAATCAAAAAATTGAACAGAGGGGCCGGGGATGTAGCTCAGTGGTACCTCACTTAGCTGGCAACCACAAGGTTCTGAGTTCGATCCCCAGTACCACAAAAAAAAATTGAACAGAGCAGCAGGGAGCTGTGACTTAACTCAAAGCAGCCTAATCACATGAAATTAGAGTTGCAGGAGGGAGATGAAAGACCAAAAACAAATTTGAAGAAATAATATTCAAAAACTTCCCAAATTTTATGAAAAGTATAAGCCCATAGACTAAACAGGCTCAATGAACCTCAAACACAGGCAGCATTTAAAAATATACATCCAAGTATACTATGGGGAAACTGTTTAAAACCAGTGATGAGCCGGGTATGGCAGCACATGACTATAATTCTAGCTACTTAGGAGGCTGAGGCAAGAGGATCACAAGTTCAAGGTCAGCCTGGGCAACTCAGAGAGACCCTGTCTCAAATTTAAAAATAAAAACAACTAGGGATGTAGCTCAGTGGTAGCATGAGTGAGGCCCTGGGTTCAATCCCCAGTTCTGCTAAATACATACATATGTAAAACAGTGAGAGAGAGACAATCCTAAAAGAAACTAAGGAAAAACATCCAGAAAAACAAAGACAGGAATGACATAAAATTTCTCATCAGAAACAATACAACCAAGAAGATAGTGCAGAGGCATCTTTAAAATAGTGTAATTAAAAAAAAACTATGAAACTAGAATTCTATACTCACAAAATACTTTTTTTAAAAGGGGCAGAATAAGGATATTTTCAGACACACAATAGCTGAAGGACTTCACCACCAGCAGATTTACATTGAAGGAAATGTTCAAGCAGAAGAAAAAACGATACCACATGGAAATATATTAAACTTCCGCATCATTAGCCTTCATCTGCCAGTCAAGAGTTCAGCTTTGGCAACAACCCAACAGCTGTTGGAACAGGGCTCGCACAATTATTTGCAAGTACAGGGCACTGAGCAATTGATTCAGCCTGGATTCAGGACAAGCAGTGGCTCAGGCCACAGGTAGGATGGCCGTAATTTGCCTGTTCAGTTCCATTGTGTGCTTTTATCCTTTAGAAAAATGAGAGAAAATTTTAAAAATGAAAATGCTGATGTTAGTGATGTAAACACATAATTTTCACAAATCTCATGCAACAGAATAAAGGAGAGAAAGCACAATGTATGTCAAAATAAGTCAGTCAATTGTGTTCAATTTACTGTGTCAAAACATTGAAAATATAATATCAAACATTCTGGGTAAAAAACAAAGGATAATTACAAATACGATACTTCTTTTTCAGGGAAAGATAGTCCCTCCCACCCATTCAACATAGGCACTTGAGTCTGTGGTTAATTCACACAATTTGACATATATAGATATTTGCAGGGATATATGGTGTAAAAAAGTAAAAATGTATTCTAGGGGCCACAGTACTTCCCTTTGGATCCCAGCATGTCATTTCTCCTTCCTGTTACCTTGTTCTTCCATCTTCACAGCAAGAACAGAAGGCAACTGAGTGATGTGTTAATGCTTAGGCAAACATGTGGTCAAGAACGATGGTTTGTGGTCAGTAAGACTGACAGTATTAAGAGCCGGGGATTTAGCTCAGTGGTTCTACAGCCTGCCTCACAAGTGCAAGGGCCCAAGTTCGATCCCTGGTACCAAAAAAAGACTGACAGTATTCATAAAGTCTACCAATTAATTAATTAACTAGACTCTTGCTCATGAATAATAAATATTGATGCATATTTCCACTAGCTGTTGAAATTTAAACATATGAAGCACATGAAAATTGTCTCTGAAAATGAGTGTTCAGATATTCACAATAATTCTGAATGGCATGCCTTCTTTGTATAACTGACTTTCTTACGTGTGTTAAATGTGCATTTATCAGATGTTTGTTAAGCATGAAAATATTTCAAGAACTCTACTTTAAAAAGTCAGGGCCCCTGAAGCACCAGAATTCAGGAATATTTAAGACTTGATTTTTGCAGTGCTAGAGATCCAGGGCCTTGCATATACTCGGCAAGAACTGCGCCCCAACCGAGACCTTCCTACAGTTCTTCCTTGGTTTCCGGGGTGCTCCCCTTCTGCAGTCACCTGTGGTCTCTGGCTCTGCCTCTCTTGGTTTGGTTTCTGGAAGGATCCTGCCCTCTGCAGTTTGTTTAGCCCCACCCTCTTCTCCAGCTCCAGAGGAACCTGGCTCAGTCTCGTCGCATGGGGCACGTCACTGCTGGGTTTGCTCTGATGGTCAGTGTCAAACTGTTTCCGGATGAACTCTTCATCGATGTTCAAATCTCCCTGGAAAAATACCATGGGTGTGAATGGAGGAGAAATGGTGAAATGCTCCTTCTTTCCTCTTCATGTAAGGAGGCATCTGACCACCGCTGGGGAAGAGGTAGACAGGCCAAGTCAGCATTCATTGGAGACAAGTGGTCCCTGGGGACCCCAGGGCTCATTAGCACCTTGTGAGACACCTTAGGACTGGCAAGAGGCAGTGAGTCCTGGAGGGAATAACATCTGTTTCCTCACAAGCAAACTTCTCCAGCACTTAACAGCAGTGACATCCCTAGAGTTATTTTCCAGACATGTCTAGACACGGCATGTTTGTTCTGTCCACAGCCCTGCTGTAGAAGGGAAGCCGCTGAAGCAGGCAGGTGTGGTCAGCCACACGCTGTCCCCAGGACAAGCCTCTCCACTTCCTTCCTCACCGCAGCTGGCGGAGGAGAGATGGGCCCATTCATAGAGGCTGATCTAGAGCCTGACTGCTACCTTGCAACATGCCATTGGGTTAAAGATAATCGAGCTCAACAGAATCCCACTTTGGAAAATAAAAATTGGGAAAGAGAATGAATGAGGCCACTAACAGCTAGAGCTGAAGTAGGTTATGAAATTTAAAGAGAGGAGTCATGAAACAGAGTTGGGGACATAAACAGGTGAGCAGAGTCCAGATGAGTCTGAGACAAGGAGCAGGATCAATGAGGTGAAGATAAAACACACAAAAAGAAAATAGTAAGTCAGTGCTGTGAAGAAAATACCACAGGGTGAAGTGACATTGTAGGTTGTAGAACACTGGAGCCAGTCCCAGCACCCAGAAGGAAGCTCCCCCACCACAATTCCATGCTCCTCGGGCAGAGAAGGTGAGCCACACAGGCACCAGAAGCACCCCAACCCATGGAAATGAGAAGACACGTAAACAAGCCTCAAAAACAGACTTCTGGATCACCTACAGCAACCCCAAAGGGAAACGAGATGGAACAATCTGATACTCAACCACCTGGATTCTCTGAACTGGTTGTAGAACACTGGTAAAGATGGGATGCTGGTCATAAGGAACCAAAAAGGCTGGTTACCAGAGCAGCTGAACCACCACCCTAATGTTCCTTAAATTCTTTGTCATGAATAGGAACAAGAGAGGTGAAGGCCTGGGCATCAGCCAGTGATGGGCAAGCAGTGGTGCAGGTACCAGGTACAACGGCCATGGTCTACCTTGTCCAGCATCTCTATTTCCATTGCCCCCTGGGCACTTCCCTCCCTTCCCTTCAGTTGGCTGAAGGGCTGGCCCCACCCTCTCTGTGGCCTCAAGGGTGGACATGTGACCCAGCCTAGCCAGTGAGCTTACTCCATCCCCTGGCAGTTGATTGCCTGTGACACTAGTGAGTCCAGGGAGAGTGGCCCTGGACTTTTCCATGTTGGAAAAGGGTCACTCTCTCTCCATGTAGGTTGCTCACTGGTAGACTGTAAGCTGGCAAAATTTAGTGACTACTGTTGACATCTCTTGAGGAAAAAGTCCTTGGGAAGGAGTCAGACAGAGGAGTGCAGGCAAGAGATAGGGTAGCACCTAACAACACTTCAGCACCTGGATCCAGTGTAACATCCTAATATCTGGATTATTCCCTTTTCTTCCTCAAGTCTGAATTATACGGGGGTCTGGAGGGAAGTTGCTTGCTAATGAAATAGTACTACATAAATATATGAACAAAAACTGACCAATACACTCAAAAAATTGGTAGGGTGAGAGGGATATAAATACTGGAAGGTCTGAAATCCAAGAAAAAGTTAAGAATCTAGACATTTAAGAGACTTTGGAATGGGCATAAGTAACTAAACAGATTCTTAGAGGAGGATAAGGCAAGGCCTTGATAACTGTGCTAGCTTTCTGTCGCTGTGACAAACTACCTAAGAATAATAGATTAAAAAGAGGAAAGGTTAATTTTACTCATAGTTCCAGAGGTTTTAGTCTACTATCAGCTGGCTCCATTGGCTTAAGGTCTGTGGGGAGGTAGAAACATCATGGCATTCAGGAAGCAGAGAGAAGGGACAGGGACAACATGGACCCAGGGCACACCTCCATAACCTAATTCCTCCAAGTAGGCCTGTCTCCTAAGTGTCTATCTCTTTCCAGTAGTGCCATCAGAGTATGAAGCCTTCAACAGATGAATCCATTGGTAAGATCAGAATCCTTATGACCCAACCACCTTCCACAAACCCCTGCCTCTGAACTTCACTGTACTGGAGACCAAAACCCCAGTACACAAACAGGGACTTTTTTTTTTCTCTGAGACAGGGTCTCACTATGTAGTTCAGGCTGGCCTTGAACTCATAGCGATCCTCCTGGCTCAGTCTCCCGAGTGCTGGGATTACAGGCATGCACCACCACTAAGTAACTAAATTAAATATCTCCTCCTGTCAGAGAAACATTTTATGAAACTTACAGTCAAGCAAAGCTCCCACATAGGTATAGGAAAATATAACTAAGAAACTGAATGGAGATGGACCAAAGGGCAGAGAGAAAGTTCCTGACACTGAAACAGATAATAAAAACAGGAAGTAACAGCAATGATGTGAGATACAAACATAATCATTCAAATTAGTTCCAAGCTTGCAAACTTTCCAGAAATTTCATCTACCATAAACATTTCCACTAGAAATGGTGGGAGAGACTGTTCCTTTATGACTTTGATAATTTGTCTTAGATTTTATCCAAATATTGTTTTTAATGAGTAACTGAATTTGATTGATTTTTATTTTTTTGTTCATTTTTCAGTTTTTTGAGACAGGGTCTTGCTATGTAGTTTAAGCTGAATCCCAATGAACTCAGTGATCTCCCTGCCTCAGCCTCCTAATGAATTTGACTTTTTAGATTAAAGTGTTATTACTAACTTACAAAAGTAGCTGCCCACTTGCAGAAGTCATGAACTCCTTGGCGTACATCTTCATGAAGAGTAGAACCATCTTCCTGGGGCAGATCCATTTTCCTTGGCTTTCCTTCATAACGCCACTGGCCTGAATGTGACACAGGAATCTTCCCGGGACTTAAGAGAGTGAGGTCATCAGAGAGTTGAGGGACAACGAATCCAAGTAGATTTCAGTCAGTACTGGGCAGGAAAGAGCCCATAAGGCAACTGGTTCTAATGGTCTCTTATAAGTTCACATGGCTTATGTTTTAATTTTTCAAAGATCACATTCCCATTGTCAGTATCATAAAGACAAGTCATGATTTGTTATACTGTTGACCCCCTAAATTCACAGGGGTTATGTTCCTAGAGCACCCACAAATTGTGAAACACTGAATTTCAGATATGGTCAGAAAAATGCCTATAAATGCCTACTTTTATAATTTAAACCCTAAATATGCTATGCCTCCTGCAGTTATGTAATTTATTTTAATAAAATATTGTATTAATAAAGACTTAGAAGGGCTTTTTTGCAGGGTGTTTTGGTGGCATCTTAGGATCTTAGGTCTTTAAGAATAAAACCAAGAACACTAGAGGCAGCTACTCTGTACAGCACCTTGTTATGATGTGGGAATGCTGGTGCATCTGCAGGACATGGGTTACAGGGCAGCAGCCAATCAGCAGCAAGGCGAACTGAATAACCCTCTCGGATTGGCTACTTGCAAACCTCCTGGCAAAAAAACACTTGCGGAGGATATTTGTGGTTTCTACAAAATTGTGAGGGTTTCCATGAAAAATTATTAGTAAGGTTTGTGAACAACTGAGGCCACAAACTCCGAACCATAACTTTCTGGGAGTATACTGTAACTGAAACCTAGAAATATTTAATCAAGCATTATCAGGTGATTTCTAAAATTATGAGTACCACTTTTTAATGCACATATTGGAAAAAACCCAAATTACCAAGGCCTCAGGCAACCTTGACAAATAGAAGATGCCTGTGACTCCTTGCTCATCTCTAGAATCCAGCTCATCAATGCTTGGCAGATTTTAACTCTGCCTCCTTCTCTGAACCATTGCAAAAGCTCCTGGTGGGGACTCTGCATCTTTCTTCCTGTCCCCCAGACCCCAGTCCATTTTCTATATGTCTGCAATGTAGTCATTTCAAAACAGAAATCCGAGGATGTCAAACTGTCACTTCTCATCCTCCACTAAGCCTCATCAAGTGGCTTCTTCTAAAACACTGGGTTGTAATTTGTATACCATTAAACTCATAAAATTCACCATTTCAAAAGTGTGTAATTCAGTAACTTTTACATATTTACAAAATTATGCAACCCAGACCACCACTATTTAATTCTAGAACATTTTATTATCCCACAACGAAACCCATAACCATTAATGGTTATTTCCTATTTCCTCCCTTCCCCTCCCCCAGGCAACCTCTAATCTACTTTTGTACTCTGATTTGACTGGTCCAGAGATTTCATCTGAATGGAACCACACGATCTACGGTCTGGTTCTTTCACTTAGCATATTTTCAAGGATCAGGGCTGGGGATTTAGCTCAGTGGTTTCGCCGCCTGCTATGCAGGTGCAAAGACCCGAGTTCAATCCCTGTTACCAAAAAAACCCCCCAAATAACTCAAGGATCATCCATCTTGTAGCTAGAAACGATGATAAATACCTTTTTATGGTGGAATAACTTTCCAGTGTAGGATATACTACATTTTGTTTATCAATTCACCAGTTAACGGACATTTCAGTTGTTGCCATTTTTTAGCTATTAGGGATAATGCTGCTATGACACATTCAATTTTTGTGTTCAATCATCTTTTGCTACTCCTCCAGTCAAATATTTAATTGTTTTTTTTGCAATATTGGGGTTGGAACTCTGAGATGCTCTACCATTGCAGTACTTCCCCAGCCCTTTTTATTTTTATTTTGAGGGAGGGTTTTGCAAAGTTGCCCAGGCTGGCCTCAAACTTGCAACCCTCATGCCTCAGCCACCCAAGTAGCTAGAATTACAGGCATGGGCCACCATGCCCAGCTAAGGCTTATATCTTAACAAAGCCTCCAAGGCTTTTTGTGGCCTGGCCCCTGCCTGTCTCTCCAGGTTCTTCTGGAACTACCCCCACTATCCCCTTCCCTTGATCTTCTCTCAGTTCCATGAATTCATGAAGATCCCTCCAGAAATGGCATTTGTACATGCTGCTCCATTTAATCTCAAGTCTTTCCTCCTCTTCTGTACTTATTGGTAGGTTCAACATGAAGAATGGGGTTAGTAATTACTGAGCTGGGGAAGAGAGGAGGAGGAATAGATTTCAGGGAGAAATCAAAGGTGCTGCCATTTATCTGTCAAAGGACAAACACTGAACTACCCATATATAAATGGACTTGACAAGAGTCTCCTGGGTGCAAAGCGTACAGAAAAGAAGACGGCAGAGGCTGAATGAAGCACTTCAAGGTTTAAAGGCAGTGAAGAGGGAGCAGTAGAAGAAGACCAGAGACAGGACTTTGGGGCAGGAGGAAAATCAGGAATAGAAATGTTCCAGAAGCCAAATGAAGAAGCTGTTGTGAGAAAGAAGATATTGTTAGCTGTGTCAACTGCATCAAGTGTGGTGGCCAATGAAAACTGACTTAGTAACCCACAATTCACTGACAACCTTGAACAAGGGCAACGGTGTCTGCTAAAGATAAACACCTAAAATTGTTCCAGGTTCAAGAGAGAAAAAGAGGAGGAAGTGAGTTTGGACATCGCTTTAAGGAGTTTTTCTCTAAAGGAAAAGGGAGATGATGTGGCCGAGGGGAGCTGTTTTCAAGGAGAGATACAGTTCTACCTCAGCTGCTGGACACTGATAATGACCTCCACAGAGGTCAGGTGCTAATTCTGGGAACACAGCAGCAGTGCTTTATTTGGAAAGAGTCTTTGCAGGTGCAATTTGGTGAAAGTATTTGAGATGGGGAGATTGCCCTGGATTATCCGGGTGGTTCAGATCACAAGCATCCTTGAAAGAGAGACTCATGACACACAGAGCAGAAGGCAGTGAGAAAACAGAGAGGCCAGATTTGGAGCTGCTGGTCTTGGAGACTGGAGTGATACGGCTACAACCCAATGGATCTCCACAGCCACCAGAAGTTGGAGGGGGTAAGGATGGATTCTCCCCTAGGGCCCCAGAGGGAATGTGGCCCTGCTGACTTTGCTCTTGGTTGGTTGGTTGGCTGGTTTTGTGGAGTGGTACTGGGGATGGAGCCCAGGGCCTCGCACATGCTAGGCAGGTGCTTGGTCACTGAGCGGCACCCCCAGCCCTTTCCACTGACTCTGATTTCAGGACAGTGATACTTATTTTAGACTTCCAGCCTCCAGAGCTGTGAGATAGGACCTTTCTTTGTTTTTAGCCACCAACCCTGTATTAAACTGTTACAGCAGCTAAAGGAAACTAATACATAGGGCCAAATGAAAAACTCACTGCTGTGTAATTATACAATTATTTTGTGATATGATAAATTATTTATGCATTAATATTGTTTGTGCCTTCTACACTTTGTTTTTCCCCTTTTCCATAGATAACCCCTTCAATTGTAATTTCTTACTTAAAATTATGCGAGGGTTGGCCAAGGAAACTGCCCGATGTGAAGGCAGATCCCACATGGATATTTCTTATTCTATCCAGAGCTCTGCATATCATACTCTCTTTTCACACAACATTGAGAGCAACTTGAAAAATACAGTAGCACAAAAAGCAGACAAAAGCCAAGATGTCATCTTTTATTACTAGCAGCAGCCATGTTGGTGGACATGGCTTTAGGGCTAAGAGGACTGCTAAAGGAAACCCAGAAATTGGTGGACTCCCCATTGGGTCCTCAGCAGAGATGGACAGGGACAGCGTCCTCTAGGGCACAGGAGCAGAACTGTGCTTCCCATGGGTCCCCTCACACCCTGTGAAGCAGGGCAGAGTAAAGGTGAGCATGCCTAGTTGCTCTCCTGAATTACCTAGGAGTAGACTGCAAGGCCAGAAATGTCCCAGCCATACAGCTCCTGTCCCCATGGGTCTCACTCTAACAAAAACATACAACTAAATACAGTGGGTTCCCTCTTAGTCCACCTCTATATAGGTAACTTCCGTGACTAATGAAGCTCTTACCAAACATACTAACAGGGTCCCCACCCCATACCACGCAGGGTGCTGTGGTCAGCCTGGTCTTGGTCCATCCCACTCTTCAGCACCCACTGGTGAGAGAAATTAATTTCCAAAGTCAAATGTGTATGCCAAATCTATTTCTGTGAAGTATATTTATCATGTCATTTACATGATTTAATATTGTATAAATTGAGGAAATGAGAATGAGATGCAAAAGAGCGATTTTTCCTCTAAGTACAACACTTTGGCAAGCTTCAGTAAAAGCTCCATTAGTGGTGTGTTTCATGGCAGAAAGCTGAGGGGGACTTCAAGCAGTAGACCCCCAGAAGGCTTAATCTTAGATTAAAAGACTAGAGAGAGGGCCGGGAATTTAGCTCAGTGGTTCCGCCGCCTGCCTCACAAGCTCAAGATCCCAAGTTTGATCCCTGGTACAAAAAGAAAAGTCTGGTGAGCGCTGGGCATAATGGTACTGTAATCCCAGGACTAGGGGCTGAGGCAGGAGGATTTCAAGTTGAAACCCAGTTTGGGCAACCCAGTGAGACCTTATCTCAAAAGGGAGGTGGGAGGTGGGGAGGTAGGTCAGTACAAAGTGCAAAAGCCCCCTATTTCCCACTAACACACACACACACACACAAGACTAGTAAATGAATGTACATCTATGTTTTAGGATAAATATTTCAAGAACTTGTATATTATCTTTCATAATTCCTTATATTATTATTATATTATATTTATTAACTGTATGTGTGTGATTACCCAACCAACTATTGGCTGCAGGGCTTCTGCCATAGATAATTCAAGGCTATTACAGTCCTCTTGCCAAATAAGAGTCCTATGGATGCCAACATTCATGCCACTGCTACATAAATCACTTCTATTTGAGACTTAAGCACTATTCAGAGCAGGACCCAGGATATCTTTCCTTCCTCCTCAGGAACTTACTGAATTTTGCTTCTTTAAAATTACTCTAAAAAGCTGGTGGTGCATGCCTGTAATCCTGGCACTCAGGAAGCTAAGACAGGAGGATCACAAGTTTGAAGCCAGCCTGAACTACCTATCTCAAAATAAAACAAAACAAACCCTAAAAAAAAAAATCCCAGTCCTTAGAAACTTTCATCAGATGACAGCCATGAGCTGAGGGCGAAGAGCAGTACTCACAGTCCCAGGCAAATTTGTGTGGGGCGTTTCTTTAAAAGCCTTGCGGGTTCCCCGGTTCTTCTCCTGGTGTCCTGACAATAAGCCCAAGTGTCCTCCAGCTTCCTCTCAGGATCAAGCACTTCCAGCACCTTTAGAAAGAGCTATACATAGGAAATGGCTTTTAAAAGGAGGAAAATCATGCTGGAAAGGAGCCCCTCTTCTAAAACAAGGCAACCAACTTGCCCTTTGTTTCTCCTTTTTGGCCAGCCAAGCCTGTTCATCAAGTTCTGCACTATCTGTGCTGGGTGCTGTAGACTTCCACCTGCCCACCAACAGGACAGGGGCAGGTGCGCAGGCTTTGTGCTACTGTCCCAGCTCCTCAAGATGGGCCTATTTTTGCAACCGGCCTACCCCAGCCCCCACTCTGCTGTTGGAAGTACCACACAGCAGCCATCCTTCCTCCCATGAATAACTCTATCTGGACTTTTCTTTGGAGAAGCCCTTCCCTCCTCCTCAGCCCTCCTGGTCTGCATTGCCTTGGCCTCACCCCCACCCCCTGCTCCCTGGAGGCCAGGACAATCACGACCCACCAGGACCAGCTTAGGAAAAGGCTCATGAACCAAGCTGCACCCATGAAATCAGGCTATGAGATTCTGCAGGGCTCGTGCACCAAGAGGTACACATTGCTAAGTGGGTAGAATTTACATCTTGATCAGCTGGTGGTCATCTTTGCACCAGGCAAAGAGGTCCTGCCTCAAAAAGAAGCCAACACTCCTAGTCAGGGAGGACAGCCATGGAAATAAGAGCCACAAGCCCACACCAGGCCCTGCTCCATGTGATGTGTGTGAAAACCATCTCTTTCTCATGGACCCCAACTCTGGCCTGCAGGAAGCAGTTACCAGAAGATAATTGATCACCACTTCCAACTGTTCTTCCATAGGCTCCTCTGCCACTCATCGTTTATTTATTCATGCATTGCAAAATGTTATTTTGAAAGTCCCATATGCCACATATTGGTGATACCCCTGTCACAGATGCAGATAAAGTCCCGGCCTTTGAAGAGATTACTTCTCGTGAGGACTCCAGGGGTGTCAGGTGCTATGATGACGAGGATGAAGGTGGAAGGGAAGTGTTGTCCTGCAGGAAGTGAGGGGGAAGGCCAGCAGCCCCTGGGGCAGGTGTTTAGGGTGAAAGGGCAGGGGCCTGATTTGGACACCCAGGTGCCCGAGGGGCTTCACCAAGTGCAAAGGGGCTTGGAGCGGAGCAGTCACATGCTGGGATCTGTCTTTCTGTGCACAGCATGGGAATGGCAGTGCCAGTTCCCGCTCTCTCCATGCCACACTCTTCTCCTAAATCCAATAGAGCCTGGGGTTTCTTCAAGGTCGCAGTGCTCAAGTAAGAAGCTCAATTTTGGGGCCAGGGATTTAGCTCAGTAGTTTCGCAGTCTGCTACGCAAGTTCAAGGACCCGAGTTCGATCCCCGGTACCAAAAAAAAAAAAAGCAGCTCAATTTCACAACTCCCTAGCATCCCTACCAACCAGGAATGGTCAAATGAAGGTGATGCTCCCTGGGAAAGCTATGTTTTGCCTAATTAAAGCCAGCCAGCTGTCATATGCCATTCACTTTTGCCCCTTCCTTCTTCTTGTTTGGAAGACACACCTGGCATCATTTTGGGACACAAGGCAAAGTGACAAATGCTAGGGACTATGGAGCTGCACATGGAAACAGACTGGGACCTTGGTAACATGAATGGACTGCTGTCCAGCCCTGGCCTCATCAGGCAGTCTTGTGTGTCCTGTCATCTACTAGTGACTTTTTACAGACCCTGACTAACCCTGGGCTAAAGGGACTGAAGTAAGATTTAACATTCCTTCCAGCCCCTCAACCAAAAGTTATACCTTAAAGCAGAAGGGAAAAGCTGAAGTTCTTGGTTTGCTATACCTTTGTTTTGTTTTTTGGTGGGTTTTTTTGTTTTGTTTTGTTGGGTTTGGTTTAGGTTGGTTTTTGTTTGTTTTTTGTTGTTTCTTGAGACAGGATCTCACTATATGGCCCAGGCTGGCCTCAAACTCATGGCAATCCTCCTGCCTCAGCCTTCTATGTGTTGGGATTATAGGTGTGCACCACACACCCAGCTTGCTGTACTTTTGTAAGCCCAGCAACTTCCCAGGAGGCAAAAATGCCCCTTGCCCTGGGGAAGGCATTTGTTTCTTCTCCTGATAAGCACGCCTCCTCAAAGGCTCCCTATGAAGCTCTGCCACAGGCTGGGGACAGTCACCTCTGCAGACAGGGCTTCCTCCAGGTCTGGGTGTGAGGCCAGGCAGGCCCTCAACTGCTCCAGCTTGCAGAATGGGGCTGCTTCCTCAGGCAGCTCACCCTGGATCTTCTTAGGGGGAGGCCAGGGGGCTCTGCAGTGAATCCAGGGCAGAAAGGTCCCCTGGGGACCCTGAGCAGTGAGACCTCCTCGCCCCTCTCTCAGGAACACCCAGCGCCGGCTGTCCAGGGATCGCATGGTAGGCAGAGTCTCTCTGCACCTGGAAGACAACACATAGGGGAATGAGTCCAAAAGCAGGGAAAGAACAAAATAAAGGCCCTATTAGGCTTTCGGGCAAATCCTGACTAAAGAGTTAAAACTTTGCTGGAGGAAGCAAAAGGAAGCCAGATGCCTTAACTAAGTTAGCTACCGCTCCCCTCCTCCAATAAAATGCAAAGGAGACAAAGAGTGGCCACTTAAGAAGAAAACTCTTGCTGGGGATTTAGCTCAGTTGTTCCACCGCCTGCCTTGCAAGCTAAGGACCCAAGTTCGATCCCTGGTACAAGAAGAAGAAGAAAGAAGAAAGAAGAAGAAGAAGAAGAAGAAGAAGAAGAAGAAGAAGAAGAAGAAGAAGAAGAAGAAGAAGAAGAAGAAGAAGAAGAAG